ACCAAACCTAATTTAATCATGCATATATTTATATAGGCTTATTTTTATGTACATCTTCAACAAACACTTCCCTCTTCAGTTTTTTGAAAAAAGTGTGTCATATGAAGCACCTGTACGTCTTTGTTGTAAGTATAAAGACTAAATACATCTCAAAACCAAGATTTGAACCTGCAACATTATTTTCCATTATTCAAGCACTGTTTCTACCATTGGTTATATACACACTGTCGTTATTTAACAACAAAGTATTTTGTTTTTTTAAGCCGCAAAAGAAGAAGAAGCACACAAATGTGACACCATTGTCTTCAAGCACAGAAATTTTGGCTAAAATACGTGTGCAACAAGAAAACAAGGACAAGGAAACACCTGCATGTCGCTGCGCAAAATATGATGGCCTTAAAACTAAATACAGCGAACTTAAAACAAAGTATAAAGACGTATGTAATGAGAATGCAGATTTACTGAAATATAAAGGTAAATATCGGTTTTCTTTTTTAATATTATATTTATGAATATTTATATGCTAGTTTAGAAATACGGTAAAACGTTCTGAAAGAAAGAAGTAAGAATTATTTGGCGATATACACATTAATTGGCACACAAGAGTCGCCGGAAACGCAGTGCTACAAAAAGATGAAATACCTTGAAGAATAACCTCAAATTTTGAACAAGGGGGTTATAATGCAAGAGACGACCAAAAAAAAATACAACATAAAACGACCACCTGACTCATAACTAAAGATGGGAAGGGTACTGTGTGTATGTGAACTTTAAAAAGATGACAACGATAGAGCCTCCAACGATAAGGTGTTGCGATAACTACAAAAATCAAACGCCGCTATCTGAAATATTTTTGTTAGGTCAAAAAAAAAAAAAAATCTTGTCAATTTCCTGACGGTTAAATTATACGGTAACTTTTCTGTATCCATCTGCATAAAAATCTTTACATTGGCTAGTAATTAATTTAACGATTTTTGTGGTAAAATATTAGTAAATTTTATTTATTTTCCTATATTTTGACTGATAGTACATCTTCAATGTACAGTAATTGTCTGAAAAAAATCCATAATAATAAATTCCAACACTGCAACTATATGAGCTGCACTTAAGCTTAGCACGTTTTTGCTGTATTAGTGTCCCTGTATTAGTATGCCTGCTTATAAAATTTCTAGTTTTTTTTTTATTATTAAACCTATGTAATTTCATATTATGCTTTGAATTATTTATTTTTTGCAGACTTGTCAAAAATGATAAAAAACCTTAAGGAGTTTAAGGAGGAAATGAAGCAGCAGGAGCCCAATGAAGGAAATAGCCCATCATCACATAATGTGAAACAGACTTCAAAGGTTAATACTAATTACTAAAACTAATATTTTAATTTGAACCACAAATATAACAACAAACCAATTCCACAAAACACAAACTATAAAACACTTCATCATTAAAATTTAATTGAGATTTACAGCTGGGAGCTACCTTTAAACTCAATATACATCAACAAATTTTAATTTTCCAGCGCAGGCACTGGAATTTTTGTTTGATATCAATAAACGCATGAAACAATAATTTTATTTATAAAGTTTATTAAAACTTTGTTTTTTAAAGGTGGATATAGGGCACGGAATTTTAATGGAAAGAGGTGCCCTGCTATGTGCCACACAATCGAGCGAAGGCCCAACCAAACTTGTGAGAAGTTTATTCAGGTCTTTATTTAAGGTTGAAGAAGTGGTCGGGAAGAGCATCACTGGCCGAAAAAGTAACGCTCACTTGACCACTACTGAGCCAAAGGAGCAGTTAGATCCGCAGAGAATTGGGGCCATCATAGGTAAGAGAAATAGAAATAACAAACTACTGATTACAGTACAGTAGGTCTGCAGTTGCAATGTGTTCTGCACTTTCTTATGCTATATTATTTTTTGGGGGCTGTTGCTAAGCCGAATCTTATATTTAAGTGCCAAATTTGACCAAAAAATGGCAAATTTTACACGATTTTACCAAAAAAATCATACTTAGAAGCTAGTTCGTCACTGAAAAATCCAATTTAAATATATTTGGTATCATACTAAAGTTCTACCGAATGATGTGTATGATGACATGCTATGTTAATTTTAATACCCAAACGATAATATTAATTGGAAAAACACTAATCTAACAACAGCCTTTCGTCTGAAATGTTTTCAACAGCAAAATACAAAATTAATATCTGACATTATTCATTTTGTATTTCGGAGTTATAGTTTGTTAAAGGTTACATATTTTGACACCAAAATAACTAACTTGAATATATTTGGAAACTATTAAAAACATATACCAAATGATGATAAAATGATTTCATCATACACATCATTTGGCATATTAAAATAATATACCAAATGATAGGTATGATAACACATTTATGTTAATATTGTAACCCAAAATTGACATTTTTGATAAATTTAAAAATAGATGTTATTTATGAGAAATACTAAGATAACACATTTTATATCATATACTTTCTAGAAAACTGGTGAATTTACATTACTAGACATTGGCTTACACAAAATGGGCTGTTGAATTGCTAAATTTTTAATTTTTGAGTCAAATACACTTTTATAAAAAAATGTATTTTTAAACTATGTTACTGAAAGATTCAATTAAATGTGTTTAGTATCATATACATCATCATAAATTAGTCCTATAATTGTATAATGAAAAATTTTATTGATCTTGTAATGTGACGAAAAATGTGTTGGCTTATTCTATAATACTGTATGTTATATCTATGAAAAAATCAAGCTAACAACCTTTTATTCTAACACTTTATCAACAACTGGTGAATTTGACAACTGATAAATTATTATACATTTTTTTCATCCTCAGATTTCACGATGAAGAAATTCCCAAACACTTCAGTTGCTTTGCTGAGGCAATCATTGGCCAATAAAGTCAAAGAACTAAACAAAATTAAGGCGAATTAATTCAATTTATATTTATGTCCATCCGTTTAACCATAGCTCAACTAACGAATGCCTAAACCTAAGAGGCCAGACTGTATATAGATTCCAGTAACTAACATAATTTCAATACCTTTAGAATTATATTACTGTAACGATTATGATGGACAAATTTAATAAGTTATTATCGTTGATTTTAAAATGTACTGTTTGTAACAAACTGGGAGGGATTTTTTTAGTATGTGAATTTGATCTTATATTTCACCATTTTTACAATGTAAAATATAACATTAATAATAAATAACCATTGTCATTATCATTGTTCTTAAATAAATCTATTTTAAAAATCGTACAAACTTAGGGGTTTTGTAATATGTTAATATGTATTTTAAGTTATCTATTTATTTCAGCATTTTTTTATAGTACTGTAATACATAACATTAACAATGATTCTCAAATAATTCTCTAGTTTAAAAAAATATATTTAAAGTTATCTCTTAATACATCAAAAAACATAGCAAGTCTACTTGGATCCGCCCCTGCATTAAGAGAACTTTAATTATATAAGTTAATCAATGTTAATATTTAAGTAAATTTGAATTTTGGATTAACTAAAGCTTGAGGTCACTTGTCATGCATTTTCGGTGAATAAATTTTATGAAATATTTACTTATAGTTGTGTCAGTAAAATTTTGTTTGAAAGAGTGTATATTATTATAATACTATGGATTGTAATTGCTAATTCATATGTGTATTTGGAACTCTGTGGAAATTTACAAAGAAAAATAATAAATGACTATTTATTTATAGTAAATTTAAATACATACAATTTCATATATTTATTTAATGTGTAATTATGTAACTTTTTCTATAGAATTTCCATAGTGTTCAATCACTTCTTATATATTTTCTATACAAAATACATAGACTTTCTATAGAATTTTATACACAATTTCTATAGTATTTACATTTACTATATACAGAATTGTTATTTGGCTTATAGAATTTTCATATACTTTCTATAGACATTCAGAATAGTTTCCATAGAAGTACCATACAACTTCTATACATTTCTATAATATCTATTTATATAATTTCTATAGAATTTACATACACTTTACACAGAATTGTTATTTGGCTTATAGAATTTTCATATACTTTCTATAGACATTTAAAATACTTTCTATAGAAATACCATACAACTTCTATACAGTACATTTTTATAAAATTTCTTTATATAATTTCTATAGAATTACAGTTATTTCTATAGACCTCTAAAGAAGTTATATAGATATCTATTTATATAATTTCTATAGAATTTACATACTTTTACACTTTATACAGAATTGTTATTTGGCTTATAGAATTTTCATATACTTTCTATAGACATTTATAATACTTTCCATAGAAATACCATACAACGTCTATACAGTACATTTTTATAAAATCTCTTTATATAATTTCTATAGAATTACAGTTATTTCTATAGACCTCTACAGAAGTTATATAGAAACTCAAATAGCTTTTCTATAGGGCGAAAAATACATTTTCTATATACACTATATCTCATTTTCTATATAAACTATATCAAAACTCTATAGAATTACTATTGACTTTCTAAAGAAATTCTATTAATTTATTTTATATAATTCATATAGAATTTTATAAAATACACATATTTTTCTATAGAAAATCTTGAAATTTATATACACTTTCTGGAAAATTCTATAGCATTTCTATACATATGATATTTAATATATTTTTATAGGCTTTTTTTATATAATGTTTATAGTTTTTATAGGGATTTTTTATAGATTTTTTATAAAATTGTTTATAGATTTTCTATAGTTTTTTTAATAATTTTTATAGACTTTTTGCTATTTCTTTTATAGATTTTTATAGGTCTTAATAGAATTTTTATAGTTTTTAATAGAGTTTTTATAGACATTTAATATATTTTTTATAGACTTTTAATAGATTTTTAATAGATTTTTTATATACTTTTTATAAACTTTTAATAGACTTTTAATAGATTTTTAATAGTGTTTTAATAGATTTTTCATAGAGTTTTTATAAACTTTTTATAGTGGGATTCTATAAGGTTTCTATAGTTATGTCTATAAAATTTTCTATAGATTTGCTATAAAATATACTATAGATATTCTATAGTATTTTTTTAATAGAATTCTATAGAACTTTTTTGTATGGGATGTATGGGGCAAAAATGCTGATAAATATCCCAGGATCCTTTATGGCCTAGTACCAGTGTTTTTGGTGGTGTTTTCGGTAGTCCTACTAAACACCACCAGGGAACTACTGATATACTACTAAATATTACCACTGGGAAGTAGGTAATTTGCTTTTAGTTGCTTATTGAATAAAACTTAATTTCTAAGCCCAAAATCTTTCAAAAGTTGTTAAAAATCTATTACACACAGGTGCAGGTTGCATGTTCTGTGACAGAATATTCTTATAGAGGCTGTGAACGTTGCCATTAGAATATGTCAGTCCAAAATCACAAGTAAAAATTAAAGGAACGAATGCATTTTTCCCATCAAATAATACTTGATATAGAAATTCATGGTGAACCAACCAGGATTTTCAAGATAGAGACTAGTAGTAGGTTTTAGAAACTCATTTTTACTCTTTAATAAGCAACTACAAGTAAGATCAAATGCTCTCCACTGCATCACGCCCCGGTGGGGTTTAATATTTTTAGTTTACCTTTACTTATATCCATGTTCACTGTCATTGGTACAGCTACTGCTTCAATTCATTCATTCCTGCAATAAACAAGAATCCTCATTCATAATATAATTAAAAGGACAGAAATAGTGAAAAAATGTAAGCTCATTACTTGTCCTGTCCAGCTGTATGATTCCAAAACTTATGGCCTTTATTATTTTTATTGTGGAATTTTCCTTGCTTTTCTTGATTTTTTTCATGATCCAATAGCCTTTATATGTATTTTATAAATTTGTAAACTTTTCATAATTTTTTTTAACTTCCACTTGAAGCAATGAAATAAAAATGAATTTGAATACAGTTGTAATGTAATGTTGTTCTCCAGTCAAACTTTAGTGACTTGGCCTATTATACACATGAACTGCAAGTTGGGTATTTGAAAGTGTACATTCATAAGTATACAATAATAATAATAATAATAATGAATTCTACAGACTTAGATAGTGAGTGTCAATATTTTCATATAAACTTGAGGCCAGAATGGCAATGAGAATAATTTTCCAAAAATTTAGCTAACACAAGTATTATGAGGCCTAAATTTACTTGGAAAATCGACAAATTTTAAAAGTTTCCTTCTTTTGCTCTATGGAAATATCAGAAAAATTCATTTATGGAAACAAAACAATTTTTCCCAATATACACATTATACACATTTACAGGTAACGACCAAGTCGTATGACCCAGGGGTCAGAAAGTGTTGGGGTCTCATGCATTTCAGTAAAGTATTCACTCAAAATGTGTTGTGTAAGTGGCCAAAGGGACAGTATTTTTAAGAGAATCCCATTTATGAATATTAAGGCTAAAAAGACCGCAATATAAATTGTCTACTAAACCATAATCAACTTTATTATAATATTCTGTTCATACATACGTTTACATTTTAAAAATTCTTAAATTGATTACCAGCCAATTTATGGAAAAGAATACAGCAAAGGTATCATTCAACTGCCCAGAGATTACAAACGAATGAATTTGTTGATAGTGATATATTTGGTTTCAATTTTGAATTAAATATTAGCTGGTTAGAGAAAGTCCTACCTAGTTCATTTAATGGTGGTTCAGACAGGTGCACTACGTTTAGATAAATACAGTAGCAAAATAAAAGGCGACTTTTATAAACTATAGGCTGATGAAACTAGGCCAACTTAGGCCTAGCCAGCATTTGGTGTACTGCACATGATTATGGGTGATTTCATTAATTTAGTAATGTAGGCCATACTACTACTAATCTCAGATTTCTCAAGTTAGTATAGTAAAATGCATAGTAACCAAGTATTCAAATATTTGACGTAGCATATACAAAATTTCCGTAGCACCTAACAATTTTGTCTTGAGTGCAAAATATGGGTTGCATATACAGGTACAGGATAATAACAGCTGTGGAATTTCAAACAAACAGGACCCAGATGAAGATTTACCGGCCACATTTTCTTTGTTTACAATAATTGATCAGTAATTCAGGGGCTGATCTGGC